TCTCCCCTCTGGAATCCGAGCTAGAGAACGATCCTGGCTCCTCGTTGAGGAGCCCGTAGAGGGTCTCCGTATCATGTTCAATCGCCCCCACGAACTCGATGTCCGTGGGTGACTGAACCATCCGTAGCACCAGAAGGTGGCTAGCGGTTGCCACAGCGTTGCGGAGACCGAACGTAAACGCTGTCGGGGCACTCCGTACGGGACCTTCTAGACATGGGGTGACGTTGTGCGAGACCTCCCTTAGTGACCGGACTCCCAGGGAGTTGCCCGGCGGGCCCTCAAGCCTAAGACGGCTGAGGTTGATGGAAGGAAGAGATGGGGCGGCAGAGTGAGTCAGCGCCAACTCTCCTTCTAGTGTGATGATGAAATCTAGGTCGCCGAAACACACGTGTGCGCCCAGGACCCAGGTGATTACATGGGTGGCCATCCGAGGCCTGATTTGGAACGCGCAAGCCCCCTACCTGGCGCGCCAATTGTCGGTGTTTCGTACAAGCACCGGCAAGTAAATTTATAGTAATGCGCGTTAGGCTTGGATGGTGCGCTAAAGGACACAAGATTTATACTGGTTCGGGCCGAAAGTCCCTACGTCCAGTTTGTTGCTGCTCGTGTTATTAGCACCGTGAATGGTTTGTAGTAAGGGGTACAAACGATCGAGAGAGGGACTGGTCTCAAGTCTCTGATGGAAGGGTTCAAGGGATGTCAAGAGGTTCGACGCAACTTGACTGTGCGTATCTGAGAGTCGTCTCGTTCGATCTCTTTTTTCCCTCCTCTTTATGGAGGAAGCGCATCCCCTTTTATAGATGAAGGGGCTGGCTTTACAAGGGTGAGGGCTTTAGGATACGTACTCTACTTAGTCTTGTGGCTCACGTCTACTCGGCCTGGTTCTTCATTCTGATGAGTGCGAAGGAAGATAAGCGCCTACAATACTGTCGATGTCCCTGTAGGATGTCAGGTTGGTTACAGAATGCCACCCTACGCAGGGTATGGGCTGCGGTACAGTGGTTTTGACTTTTGAGCCTCTCCCAGCCTTGCTCTGCACGCCTTCTGGTTCCTATGAGTCTTCATCGGAGGGACGCGGGGTCGGGGTCTGGAGTAGCGCCGTGGCCAAGGTCTTCTGTTTTGGTAGACCTGAGGGGTCGAGAAGCGGGCGCCGCTCCCTTGGGTCCACCGCGTGGTGACGGAATATCCGTCGTTCATGGAGATAGCAGATCTTTTTCTGGAGCGTAGTGGTTGTCGTATATCTTCGTCGGGTTCCGTGTCCCAGAGCTGAAGGTGGCGCCTACAACTCTATAGGGTGGAGAGCTCGCACCTGTGACACCTTTCGGGCTCTACGGCGCTTGGAAGGGCCTAAAGCGCCCGTCCCATCATCCCCTAGCAGTACTTTTCCTGCCAGGGTGCATGGTATGGCTCTTGGAGCCATGGTTGACCTGAACGTCGTGTCTTGCCCTGTCTCTATCATCTTGAAGGAACAGGGAGGAGTGGTCAGGTAAGATGAATCCAATCTTTAGATATGGAGCAGAGTGAGGCTTGTTTCTTGCCATCGGGCGAAGCGGAGACCAATCCCTATCTCCTGGGCGAGACCAACCCTGCTCCTCCGGGGTCGGGCGAGGTAGAGTCTATCCCTCAGCCCTCGGGCGAGACCGAGCCCGCCCCTCCGGGGTCGGGCGAGGCGGAGTCTATCCCTCAGCCCTCGGGCGAGACCGAGCCCGCCCCTCCGGGGTTGGGCGAGGCGGAGTCTATCCCTCAGCCCTCGGGCGAGACCGAGCCTGCCCTAAAGGTGTCGGGCGAGACGGAGACTAGCCCTGGGCCCTCGGGCGAGACCAAGCCCACCCCAAAGGCGTCGGGCGAGGTGGAACCAAGCTCTTGTCATTCCCGTGAGGGGTGAAGCAACGCTCTTATGCGTCCAGAAGTTTTTAACGTACGGTGGTTATTGGTTCCACCTTCTGGGGTACCCCGGTATTAGGTCCCCGACACTAAGGATATGCAAAGCTTATTTGGCTTGTGTGTTATTGCATCTACAGAAGCATTACTAAACGTGTGTCCTTATATTAAATTTTATTAGCAGTCATCATTAGTTTATTAACTATCCATTATATGTAAGCACATATGCTACTTTCAAGCAGGTGGTAAGCAATCAGAACCATTTTATCACCTTTCAAGCTCCAGTTCTTAATACGGTGCTAGACTATAGCCAAGTCGGTACCGTCTCACAGAAAATGGCGATTCACGAATCAATGTATCCCAGCTGGGTACCCCGAAACACACACCTCCTTTGTACCCCAGGCACAAACAAGACCAACCCATTCCGCTCCTATCACGGGGTCTAGGTCCCCGTCCAAACTTAGACTCCAAGCCCCCATACTTGAGACCCAGTCTCAACATGGTGCTTAGACCTCCACCTTTTCCCGCCTCCAATCAGTCGGTCCGAAAAAAGCCAGAACCCACAATAAGAGTGTAACGAGCCTTCCTGCTCCCATAAGCAAGTATGTGCTCAAGATAATAAGTTTGTGACATGACTAACATCCACAGCAACGGACAGTCCTCAATCGACAAAGGCGGAACAAGTGCAATCCGAACCTCGCTCGAATGCCTAACCAAGTCTAGATCCAAGTACTATTCTGTTTGGCCTCCAATTATCCTTCATATATATTCCATGCGATAGTAATATAACAACAAAAATAATATATTTTCTATCTCTCGCAGGTGACAGGTAATCACTCGACTTCTACCGGATCCTATAGCATAGCAATCTATAGGATCCTGACATACTAGTAGGACTCATAGATAAGGATATATATATGCAAGTGGTTTTCATTCAACTCCTTAAAACTTAATGCACAAACATAAAATAAAGTGCAGAATAATAGGGGTTATGCACTAGGGCTTGCCTGAGTAAGATATAACCAAAAGCTAGCATTCCATCATGGCGACACAATCATCAGGCACCATCTTTTCCGCTACTTCGGTCGACTCCATGATCCATCGTTGTTTCTATTATGATATACGTGGATGCAACGCAGAGACGTAAATAATCAACGGCAACTGCAACTCTTAAATACGATTACACTCCGCAAGCTAACGAGCTAGCTTTAATGACTAACGTACTAGTCTACGTATCCACATTGTCAAGTAAGGCTTTGCCACTGCTACATCACACGACGCGGCCCCAGCAGAGGTGACCCAGCCACGACTCGACAGGGTTCGACAACGTGGGGACATGGCCGCACGAGCGAGGGCAGGAGGCATGCCGATTAGTGCTTAGACAGAGCCAAAAGGGGTGCCAGCGCGCGGAGTTCTTGAATGCGGTAGCCAGGCCCGAGTGGGGTTACCGGCGTCAGCTAGCGAGGGCAAGGCGAGGCAGCGGAGCATCCTATCGCCACTGTGACCGGGGCCAACGACCAGACATGGCGGCAGTGGCATACACCAAGGGCACGATGGGGTAGGTGAATAGAAGGGTGGGGCGGACGCCACGTTGACATAGCGACGGTAGCCGCAACCTCGGCTCGGCCTAGTGGATGGCACAACGGAGAGCGAAGGACGCTGCACATTTGGGGTTCAATGGCCAACACAGCCGAGCCGAGTGTATCCGGGTTCTTTGAAGACCATCGTCCACGCACATGTTTTCAATGGCCAAGGCATGCCATGACCCAAATAACATGGTCGGCGTGAGACCGACGCCCATGAAAGATGTCCGTCTTGCTCTTTTAATGCGGTGAGACGATAGATCAAGAAAGGACTTAGGCGGCCGTTGCTATTTTGCGGTGCCATGCGCGTATTTTAAAGTGAAGTAAAGAAGGTTGATTACCTCAATTGAAACTCAACCAATTTCGCTGACCCAGAGCCAACACTGCCAGCCATTTAGCGAAGCAATCGTCACGACCATAGAGCAACCAAAGAGAGAGATAAAATGATGTCAACATGGGCTCGTCACTGGAGTGCCGGTTCACGAACAAAGCGCCAACGACGTGGTTTACAGCGCGTTCCAACGAAGTTTGGGGAATTTTTCAGGGAGCAACGCGAGACCCAACACAACTACAATCTACCCCATGCCCAAGAGCTTACTTAGAAGCAACCAACAATGCAAAAATATGAAGCTAGTGTTTAAACATTTTAGTTAGAATTTAAATGCCAAAATGGTATTGTCCAACACTCTTTTTCAACTTAGAAAAGACAAGGGTTCAATTTGACTTAACATCCATGAACACTTGTTGCCATAATTTTTAAGAGGACTATACCTTATTAACTTCAACCAAGAATTACTACGTGCGATAGCCCATACTTTACACTAAACCATATGAACAAAATACTTAAGCACTATTTAACTATTTTGCTCAATATAATTCACTAAAAATAGCATTTTAAACATAAGTTCAAATTCTTGTCGATTCAACAAAAAGGCTGATTTTTAGTTTCAAATTCGATTTTTGAGCTCTTAAGAACACTAGTTAACAACATTTGTTTTCACAAATTAAAGTTGTATCTTCAATTACACCACTTGCTCATCATCTTTACTTAAGTACTACACACAAGTTATATTTTATTTTTATTTATATAATTTGTTTTTAGAGCCAAACAATTAATACAACTTATCCCATTTTTCTTGATAGGATTTTTATTAACACTTTTACGCACCAAGTAAGTTAACTTAGATATTTATTTAAGTCCACAAAATGAGTCACATATGATTCACTTATCATTTCACGTGCGTTATAAATTTTTAAAACCCGAAAACTTATTTGGCTAATTCCTTTTGGACTTAAATTTTAGTGCTAAGCAAGCTCGTAACACTAGAGGTGTTAAAACTACTCGTCCACAGAGACTGAGAACCAGCACAAGAGATTCGACCGATAGTTCAAGCACAAGCAGTTGTTTACACGATTGTATCACATGTTAAACCTACAGCCCATCAGAAAAATGTAGCAGCTAGGCCCATAGCATGCACTCCATGCAACGCCATCAAGTGGCCAAATACACTAGTCATAGTTGACAACCAGAAAACTTCATGCCGTTCGAAGGGGTGGAGAAACCAATATGACACCATCACCTCGGACAAAAAGGAAGGGGATAGTGCGTTTTGTGGTCTGCAGAGATTATCCAGCAAATAGTTAGTGTATATCATAATACACATTTCAAAGATTAAGAGTAGGTAATAAGTCATTTCAGAGTATGGAATCACTGTCTTATATCAGAGTCAGAACCATAAAGTCTAAGCAGTCTAAAAGGCTCAGATAGCTTTATGGTCTAATGTCTTTAATGGATACCAATCTCACTATAAACACATTGAAACCCACAAAGAAATGAGTTCACAGATGTAATAGCATGAACTATAAACCTATGTCGTTAACTTCTCATTGCTTGAGGTCTCCTTAATGGCCACTTTTCTTGATGAACATCTAACATAACCCATCAAAGTCTGAAGATCAATGAAAATTATAACCTGGCATCCTATTTGGACTAATTGACTTACTGAACATTTGTCAAGAATTAGGGGAGAAAAGCAAATGAACTTACGCGCACAATTTCTTCATATGTTTCATCATCTATCTCAACAGTTGTCACGACCTCTTCAACATCTCCAAGTATCATGTTTAAATGTTGATCATACGCCTGCATAAAAAGGGGCGAAAGGACATGTCAGCAACAACCAACAATTACCCCAGCATGCCAAACATAATACAAGATAGATATCAACAGACAAAAAAGAATTGGCAAAATCATAGGAAAGATGGGAGAATCATGAAAATGCAACTGAAAGCAAAGCCACAGCAGGGGAGCATGCAACAGAAAGATTTCAACAAATCATAGGACAATAAATGCAAGCCATGAAAGGGTATCATAAAATTAAAAATGTCCAGCATCCATAATTGTTATTCATCATAAGATTCCAAACAGATTAGAATAAGCTCACTACAATGCAGAAACATTCTTACATCACAAAAGCCAGGAATGCTACTGCTATTTGCCATCTATATACCATGTTACATGATAAAATGGCCCACAAGTTATGTTACCAAGATATTTATGTTTTCCTCTAAAAAAATATATTTATGTTTAGAAATTAGAATAAAAGGATTGATGTCCCAGTTACCTTCATCACATATGAAATAATCTCAGACAGCTAAGCTTAAATGACAGAATTCAGAAAATGGTGTACAGCTGGGGCAGAAAAATTGTTTGAGCATTAAGATGACTTTAGGGAACAATTCATTGCATATGCATCGAGGATCTTCTACACATTCCACAGCTGAGTTAATAAAGGACTTGCCCCAGTTCCCTTCATCACGAATGGAAACAGAGTCTCAAACAACTAACCCTGACTAACAATGTTCAGAAAACAGCTTACATCAGAGGAAGAAAAATTGTTTGTGCATTGAAATGACATTATTATTCTAAACAGAAGGAACAATCCGTAGCTTAGGTCTCAAGGACCTTATACTCGTTCCACACCCTTTCATTCCACGTGAGCTCTTACACAAAAATGTTTGTTGCCCCTGTTATCCATATACCAATCCATATGGATGGTTTCAAAGTCATGAATTGAACATGTTTAACCTCCTGTACTCCAATTTTCTTCGAAGTCATGAATGTTACTATCACAGAGTCACAATTAATTTTGACAGATTTAGCATCGCATGAAGTGAATATGCAATTTAATTACAAAACAGTGACAAATTAGCAGCATAGAAGTTCATCATCCAGGCCATAACAAATCGTTCCCTTAAATCCGTAGTTCCCTACTCACGGCAGACGGACGCCTCAGGCCGACGCTACAACTAGCCTAATCTTCTGTACACCAAACGAACCACAAGCACAGAACAATACAGCAAAAGGTCCAAAGAGAAGCAGACGGGTTAATTACATGGAGCTTGCCGCGGAGCTCGCGGTCGGATCGGAGCTTGACGTAGATGCGCTCGTCGAGGCTGAGCCGTATCAGATCCAGCGGCTCCTTCACCGCGATCTCCTCCTCTGCCGCAGCCATCGCCGCCGCCTCGTTCACCGCCTACCCTCCTCGGCTCCTCCCGCTCCGCGCCCAGAAACCTCTAAACCCTAGCTACCCAACGAATCGAACCCCGGGTCGCACACTCGCACTGGCTTCGGCGACGGATGTGCTTGCGTTTTGCGGCGCCCGCCGGACCTCTCTGTGCTGCGGTAAAGCATCTTGCTCAGCAAGGCCAAAGGGCCTTATGGGCCTTCCTAGAAGCCCATATTCTCCAGATGGGCCAGACCTCTAATGCGAAAGAGGTGCTCAGTCATGGGCCCTTTCTTATCAGAAATTGAGCCTTCGTCGAGTTTGTAGGCCGGTTCAGGCTGCATAGCGAGACCGATCGATCTGTTTCTCAGGGCAATGCATATGCATTTGTTTTTGATGCATCATCAAGAGCCAAAAATGGTCATGGACTACTTCGAGTTATCCAGCTTCTCTCTTTTGGGGGCATCACAATTTCTCCACCTCCACAAAGTGACAGAGGATGAAACCTACTACTAATTGTTCTTCTCTTAAAAAAACAAAAACTTCATGCTAGAACCTTTTGAATAAAAAAATAAACATTCACATATTTTTTTTGCGAGTAAAATAAACATTCACATATGGAAACGGATCGTTCATCATTTCATCGAACACATCACGTTGTTATGTACCCCTGACTCCCTGAGTTACTAATGCAAACAATGGATATTTATGTAAACACATGCTCCTCTTGGAGCCTTGGAGGTCCCCTGCTCAAGTTCTCAAAGAATCCAGCAGCACCTACGGAGTACATGTCAGCAAGGTCTGACGAAAATGCGTCGCAAGAGCTCACGATAGTGGAACAGTTCGACGACAGGCAGTAGAGCCGAGGTCATCATCCAGATTGCACCCTCTTGTCCCCCTCTCCGTAACGCCTCCCCATTGTACTTTTCCCCACGGACCCTAGCATTCGAACGATGCAGCGGCGGATCCACGAATAATTTTAGGGAGGCTGAATAACATATATCTCCGACTGCTGCTTGATCTTAAATCTCAGCCCCCCTACACTATAGAATTTTATCTCAAAATTCATTGGAAGCTCCACAGGGATTTCACTGCTGTGGTCTAGGTAAGGAGGGCTCGCCCCCTCCCCCACCACCGTTGGATCCGCCCATGGATCGATGCAGGAATTTTAATCCGAGCTACCGCTTTCGCTGATGTTCCTCTGGCATTTTTTTAAGCATATGTAACATGTTAGACTGAACGCAATCTGACGTTTACATCCACCCACACACACTCGCACCCCTTATTATATATACGCTGAAAAAACAAATATGTTATCTTATTTGGTGTCAAAATAAACAATCCCTGGACGGCAAAAGTTGTGCCCAGGCCAGCCCAGCTGGATTGTACGTGATAAGTATCTGTACACCCCTGTTGACATTTTCATGTACGCATGCCGTATATACGACTTTGTTTGTTCCCTCCTCACAAAAGTCCATACAGCTTTATTGGTCTCGCTCCCGAGAAATGTCTAGGCACTATCATGCAGGCCCAGTGCCCCTGCTGCTTTTTGAACGTTTACCACTCGATCAGGTCACTGGTGCTCACGTAGGAGTACTGCTCTGCTCTGTGCTCTCCTTTCTTGATGCTGCCGTTGAATGAGAAGAAGCATCGGTAGCATCAACCTAGCTTTTATTTTTCCGGTGACGCAAACGTATCGCTGAAAAGGAGGAAAGCTGGGTAAGAATACAGCAGCATGAAACCAAAGCACCTCGGGCCTTTAGTTCCTAAAAATTTTCACCCTAAACTATCATATCGAATCTTGGAACACATGTATGAAGTATTAAATATAGACGAAAAAAAATAATTGCACAGTTTGGTTGGAAAATCGTGAGACGAATGTTTTAAGACTAATTAGTCCATGATTAGCCATAAGTGCTACAATAACTAACATACGCTAATGATGGATTAATTATGTTTAATAAATTCGTCTCGTAGTTTCCAGATAAGTTATCTAATTAGTTTTTTTATTAGTACCTGAAAACCCTTCCGATATCCCCAAAACATCCAATGTGACGTAAAAAATTTTCATTTCATCGACTAAACCCAGCCTAACTTTCGGTCTGTCAGCATGCGGCCACATGAGCAGGAGGACTGGACGAGACGAGACGAGAGAGCCCAGCGAAAGCCCTGGCTGCAGCAGTCGGTCGTTCAAACACTGCCATTGATCCGTGTCTTTCAGGGCAAGAACCAAGAAGCTAGCTGCAGATAGGATTAGGAGCAGAGCTGAGACGATGAAACTGCTAATAATGCTGCTTCGAGTTCCTTGTTCCGTCTGATGATAGCAGACATGCGTGGACAGTGGACTAGTACGCATGAAGCATTATCTTATCCCTTTGGCCTATGCATGATTCATGCATCGGCACGGTTTAGTTATATGCTCAGGCCAGCAGCCGGATTTGTTTAGATGGTGTAGTGGTTGGAACGATAACGCCGATGATTTCAGCCTTTATACGTCTAACGTTTATATATTTGACAAATGCTTCTGTACAAGACGACACGGGCATTATTTCAAGAGTTGGAACGGGCATTCAGATTCAGTACAGCGCTAACCTCTGATTAATCTCGACTAGTGATGTCGTACATAAACTTGCCACCCTGCCATGATTTATTTTTGAAACCGTCGTCTTCTGCTGCAGCTAGCTAGCAGCAGCTTATCTAACCTCTACAATGCAATATAGAATAGGATTGTATCCTGGTCACCCAATAAAACCCTTATCTTCCAAATTCGCAAGATATTTGGCTATCTCACCAAGTAGATTAAGATAGCAGGTGAGTTTTATCTCCTACAGCTAAACAGAACAAAGCGTGGACACTTTTTTGTGCGACATTTCAACATGGGTCCATTGTCCTGCCTCGCGTGCGATACCTCCCCCCACACGTCGTTTTTTTCCTGAAAAAAATGCGCCGCCTGACGCCTCTCCTGCCTGCTCCCTGCTTCCCGTGCCCTCGCCCGCCCGCGCCGCCACCCGACTACTCGTTGCGGGGGGCGCCACGGTTGACACGAGGCCACGGCGGGGCGCGCCTCCTCTAGGAGTCCCGCCCGCGCCTCCACCTGACTCCTCGGCCTTTCTGTAACCCTAGCCGCCGTCGGTTGACGTGAGGCCGCTGCGGAGCGCGCCGCCTCTAGGCGTCGGGATGCCGCAGCAGACGGGCGACGACGGGCGACGCGAGGCCACGGTGGGCCGCCCCACCACTGGGCGTCGGGAGGCCACGACGAACGGGGCATGAAGCCGGGCGGGGCTGCCGTCGCTGCCGGTGCGGTGTGAATGCTGCTTAATCCCTTTCTCCCTCTTATCCCCAAGGCGACGAATGAATCGGATAGGAGAGGAGGGCCCTTCTGGTGCTGTTCTTGTTCCCCCGTTTTCCAAGATGTCGTCCTTGAGCAAGCGCCGCGAGATGGACCTCATGAAGCTGTGATCATCTATACCTCTCGGTTTGTTTTCCAATTTTTGTTCTGGTTGTTTTTTTTATCTGGCTATTCTTGCAGGCTTTCTTGGTTTCATGGCGTCGCAGGATGATGAGTGACTACAAGGTGCAGATGGTGAGCGACAGGATGAAGGAATTATTTGCCGAATTCAAGGGGCCAGCCAAAAGAAATAACCCTTGCGCCAAATCCCGATTTCTCCCCCCACTATGCCTCCAAGTTGATTATCGGTGCGAAAAGTGACCAACAAGTAAATATTTATAGTTTTGCTGTACGTTGTGATCGGATGTGGCATAACACTCAATAACACAGGGTTTATACTAGTTCAGGCAATGTGCCCTACGTCCAGTTTGAGTTGATCGGTAACTTTATTCCTGAGCTTAGGTGCTCGAAATTTGCTATGGGTTATAAACGAGAGGGAGTAAGATGGGGGTATCAGAGGTCCGGTCGGACTCCATATCAAAGGGCCAAGAGTGACGGGAGCTCCAACGTGCGCTCAGTATTAGAACGTGTGCTCTGTATAGCTTTAGAGTGTCTAAAGCTAGCAGAGAGTGAATCGGAATGATTCGTCTGTCGTTGTTGTCCGTGTGGATCGTCGAAATCGTCCTCCTTTTGGAGAGAGTGCATCCCCTTTTATAGATGAAGGGGGTGACTTTACAAGAGAGAGTGTGAGAGAAAGAGAGTGTGTGCTACCTAATCTTGTTGCCCATGCCATCGAGTACAAGGTGGTTTGTCGGTACCCACAATGTTGTATATGCCAGACGCATGTGACAGGATTCACTGTGTTCGCTCAGTATGGCAAGTGCCGGTGCCCGCAACACTGTTGATGCCCAGATGCATGAGGCAAGCTCCATCGTGTTCTTCTGGTATGGCAAATGTCGGCGCCTACCATACTGTAGGATAAATGTCGACGCCCACAACACTGTTCGTGTTCTGACATAGCCTAACAGTATTGTCATGCAGATGTACAGGGTATGGTCCTTGGTATTATGGTTGACTTTAGAGCCCTGCCTTATTTGCTCCGCCTGATTTCTCGGGTCCTTACCAAGCGGGCGTCCCCGTTCGGTTGTCCCCAGTCGGCTCCGACCGCGCCGGTCGGAGAAGAACTATAAGCAGAGGTTCGGTGTACTCCCGGTCGGAGAAGCGGGTCAGAGTTGAAAGCGAGTGTCATTCTCTCTTTGGCCAGGCCTTTTGGTCAGAGAGGTGGGTCGGAGTCAGAAGCGAGCGTCGTTCTCTCCTTGGCCAGGCCTTTCGGTCGGAGAGGCGGGCCAAAGTCGGAAGCGAGCGTCGTTCTCTCCGTGGCCAGGCCTTCCGGTCGAAGAGGCGGGTCAGAGTCGGAAGCGAGCGTCGTCCCTCCTTGGCTAGGCCTTCTGGTCGGAGAGGCGGGCCAGAGTCAGAAGCAAGCGTCGTCCTCTCCTTGGCCAGGCCTTCCGATCGGAGAGGCGGGCTAGAGTTGGAAGCGAGCGTCGTCCCTCCTTGGCTAGGCCTTTCGGTCAGAGAGGCTGGCCGGAGTCAGAAGCGAGTATCGTCCCTCCTTAGCTAG